GGCCCAGGAACCCAAAAAAAAAAAAAAAAAAAAAAGAGTCACGTACTCCATCCTCACCCCAGGGCCTTGGACTCTGCCTGGAGAGACAAGACATGCACACATGGGAAGCTCAACTCCATGGGAGGAATTAATAACCACATTCCATATTTAGCCTCTTCCCCACTCGGCCCCATTTTAGGATGTTCCACGTACCTCAGGGCCCTGGTTAAAAACTGGCCCAGTGTTATACCTGAGAAAATGTATCTTTGCTTATTCACACTGGAATACACCCTCCCTCACTCCCTTACCTAAAAGATAAGGATCCACCTCATTCCAGTCAAAGGAGGTCAGAGGAGCACAGAAATCCGAGTTCTTGTTATTGTTTAGCAAACATTCCAGCCTGGTCTCTGTTTCACCAACCTGAAGGAACAATAATCTTTAAAAACTCAGCCAGTTTTATCTTCACAAAAAATCTTTAAAGCCTCTTTTAGTCCATATTTTAGTAAATTTAAGACGTGGGGGACATTTTTATCATGGAGTAATAAAAACCAGAGGAGCTACTTGAATGCTGCTTCTTTCCAAGCTTTCTCCTGTGCCCGGCTTTGTTTCCCAAATTTTCACCCCCAAATTCTTCTAGACGAGACGTCTTCTCACTCTGCCCAAACCGGAGCATCTGTACCCTGCCTGGCTGGACGCCACACCTCCAGCTACAGGAGAGGCCATGGTGACGGCTCGGCAGAGGGGAGGGGAGGCTGCAGGATCCACTTCCACGCTGCACTAGAAGCAGCGGCCTGGATTTTGTTTAATTTACTCAAAAATATCCTGGCTGTAAATAGAATAAGAGGCCGCCGGTGTCCCCACCCCTGCAGAAGGCCCTCGTGCTTACATCACGGTCACTGAGCCTTGAGCTTCCAGGCCTACTGCAGCCGGCAGCAGGACTTGAAGGAATCTTGGCTGGACTCACTAGGAAATCTGCTAAGTCAAACAAGCTCAGTCCAGATCCGCTCCCACCTGTTCTCCCGGCTGCAGTGATCTGGCCTCCGGCCTCAGCCTGTTCTCCGTGAGTCCACGCTGCTGCGAGCAGCTGACTCTGCGGAGGCCCATCAAGCACCTGCTTACCCTCCACACGCGGAGATAGTCGCCACTCGTCGCCAGCAGGTCTGGATAGACGCCTTTTGTGTCAGGGATCCACATGAGCTTTGTGGTGGGGTACGGATGGTCGAAGGTGTTCCGGCAAATAAACTCCGAACTCTCTTCGTCTAAACCAACAAGCTGGACCTGTAACACAGCAGAATCCAGCCACGTAAACATATGCTTCTCGGGAGCAGCACCAAATACACCAGACCCCTGTCAGTGACAGCCGTCCTGACGCTGTACTACCCTTCACTGCAGAGGCAAGAACTAAGAGAGAGAGGGCATCTAGTCCAACGGGCCTGCTGCTCAGACGAGGAAACCCAGCCTTGGAGGGGTTGAGTTACACTGAAGACTGCAGAGCTAGTCAGAGGCAGAGACAAAATCTGAATACAGGTTTTCTGACTCCAACTCCTGCCCTCTTGATCCAACAACCTAGAGCTGCGTTATCTGCCCAACTGGTTACCTTCCCCCACAAGCCGAGGCACTTGACAACGTGCAGCCGTGGTTTTAGTGACCCCACGACTAGAAGCGCTGTGGACATTTAGTGACATCCAACAAAGGAACGTCTCACCTAAAAAGGCAATCGTAGGGGCTTCCCTGGTGGCGCGGTGGTTGGGAATCCACCTGCCAATGCAGGGAACACAGGTTCGAGCCCTGATCCGGGAAGATCCCACATGCTGTGGAACTACTAAGTCTGTGCGCCACAACTACTGAGCCTGCGCTCTAGAGCCTGCGAGCCATAACTACTGGCTCACGCGCCTAGAGCCCATGCTCCGCAAGAAGAGAAGCCACCACAAGGAGAAGCCCGCTCCCCTCAACCAGAGAAAGCCCACGCGCATCAACGAAGACCCAACACAGCCAAAAATAAAAATAAATTAAAAAAATTTATTTTAATAAAAAAGGCAATCATACACAAACTGCCTCATCCTCTAACCCCCCAACCTCGCCCCCACTGGCTGGTAATATGCTGACACAGAAGGGTGTGCCAAACAAGCATTCGAGAACCCAAGCCACTGTAACTGGCAAAAAAGTGGGTACTGTTGATGAGAAAGTCCCAGCTGGTCTGGCCACCTTTTCTTTGAGTCAGTTTTGGACCAATATTGACTTCCACCCTTTGCTGTCCAACTCATTCTGGCTCAGTAGGAAATGCCACCTGCTATACATTTGCTTATGAACTTCCACCAGCTGGAAGATGGAATGGTAGGGAGGATAAACGAGAGGACAGGCACTAACCATACAGCAGAAAGAATTCCTTCCACTCCTGTCTTGCTGACTCCAGTCTCAGATACCAGTATCTTCCTATCTTTTTTTCGTTTAAACAATTTTGTTTAGGTACAATTGCATACAATAAAATTCACTCACTTTAGGTGTACAGTTCCATGATTTGGAATGTATACATTTGCAAATGTATACAGCTGTTTAACTTCCCACAGCAATTAAGATATAGAATATTGCCATAACCCCCAAAAGTTCTCTTGGGCTCCTCTGCAGTCAGTCCTCACCCCCTAAGCAACCACTGGCTACGGTTTTGCCTCTTCTGTAACATCCCATATGGATGTGATGGAATCGTAGTGTTGAGTCTTTTGTGACTGGCTACTTTCAGCATGATGCTCTTGAGACTCATCCATGTTAATATATTGGTAGTATCTTCTTTTTCTATCACTGAATAATATTGCATTATGTGGATTTATCCACTTACCAGTTGATGAACTTCTGGGTTACTTCTAGTTTAGGGCCATTATAAATATCGCTGCTGTGAACATTTATGTGTAAGTTTTTGTTCTGACGAGCTTCCATTTTTCTTGGGTAAACAACTGAGTGAAATTTCTGGGTCATATTGTAAGCATATGTTTAACTTTATTTTTAAAAAAATGATAAACTGCCAACCTGTTTTCTAAAGTGGCTATGTCATTTTGCATTCCCACTAGCAATATACGAGTTTCACATATATTTATTTGTCAGCACTTGGTATTGCCAGCATTGTTTAAAAAGTCATTCTAGGGCTTTCCTGGTGGCGCAGTGGTTGAGGGTCCGCCTGCCGATGCGGGGGACGCGGGTTCGTGCCCCGGTCCGGGAAGATCCCACATGCCGCGGAGCGGCTGGGCCCGTGAGCCATGGCCACTGAGCCTGCGCGTCCGGAGCCTGTGCTCTGCAACGGGAGAGGCCACAACAGTGAGAGGCCCGCATACCGCAAAAAAAAAAAAAAAAAAAAAGTCATTCTAATAGGTGTGTAGTAGTATTTTAATTTGCATTTCCCTAATAACTAATGATACTGAGCATCTTTTCACGTGCTTATTTGCTCTGCGTATTTATTCTCTCGTAAAGTCTGTTCAAATATTTTGTCCTTTAAAAAAAAAAACTTTGTTAGGGCTTTCCTAGTGGCGCAGTGGTTGAGAATCTGCCTGCCAATGCAGAGGACACGGGTTCGATCCCTGGTCTGGGAATATTCCACATGCTGCGAAGCAACTAAGCTGATTCGCCATAACTATTGAGCCTGCGTTCTAGGGCCCGCGTGCTGCAACTACCGAAGTCCATGCGCCTACAGCCCATGCTCCGCAACAAGAGAAGCCACCGCAATGAGAAGCCCGCACACCACAATGAAGAGTAGCCCCTGCTCGCGGCAACTAGAGAAAGCTCACACATAGCAACGAAGACCAAACAGCCAAAAATAAATAAATAAAATTAATTAATTAAAAAAAAAAACTTTGTTAGTCACAGAAAAACTGGGCAGAAAGTAGAGAGAGTTCTCTAATACATTAAAGTTCACTCTTTGTGTTGTACAACCTATAGGTTTTTCTTTTTGTTTTTGCAGTACGCGGGCCTCTCACCGTTGTGGCCTCTCCCATTGCAGAGCACAGGCTCTGGATGCGCAGGCTCAGCGGCCATGGCTCACGGGCCCAGCCACTCCACGGCATGTGGGATCCTCCCGGACCGGGGCACGAACCCGTGTGCCCTGCATCGGCAGGCGGACCCTCAACCACTGTGCCACCAGGGAAGCCCAACCTACAGGTTTTGACAAATGTATAATGACATGTATCCACTGTTACAGTATCATACAGAACAGTTTCACTTCATTTTTTACTGGGTTGTTTTATTTATTGAGTTTGGGGAGTTCTTTGTACGGTCTGGATACAAGTCCTTGGTTATGTGTTTTGCAAGTATCTTCTCACAGTCTATGGTTGTTCTGTCATTTTCTTTCAGCGTTTATTGAAGAACTGAAATTTAAAATTTTGAGGTCAGTTTACTATTTTTCTTTATCAGCTCATGCTTATTGTGTCCTAGCTAAGAAATTTTTGCCTAACTCCAGCCCACAAATATTTTCTCCTATGTTTTCTTCTTCCTTTCTCTTTGTTGAGAATCAATTGACCATGTATTTATGCATCTATTCTGGACTCTATTCTGTCCCATTGATGTATATGCCTGTCCATTGATCAGGACCACACCTGATGCTGCAGCAGCTTCCTACTGACATCCTGAAATCAGACAGTGTCAGTTCTCCAACTTTGCAGTTCTTTTTCAAGATGGTTTTGAAACCTACTCTATACGTTCGCTTTTCTGTGTAAATTTTAGAACCAGCTTGTCAAATTCTACGAAAAACCTGCTGAGATTCTGATTGGGATTGTGTTGAATCTATAAATCAGCCTGGAAAAACTACTGTCTTAACAGTATTGGGTCTTCTAACTCACAAACAGAACCTATTTCTCCACTTATTTAGGTTTCCTTTAATTTCTCTCAGCAGTATCTTGACGTTTCCAATGTACAAGTCCTCCTTTTCTTTTAACTTTATTCCTAAGTATTTTTATGCTATTATAAGTGGAATGGTTTTTAAAATTCTATTTCCAATTGTTTATTGCTACTATATAAAAACACGATTTTTGCCTATTAATCTTGGATCCTGTAACTTTGTTAAATGAGTTATTAGTTTTAGCAGCTTTTTTGTAGATTCCTAATAATTTTTCTCTGTATATTTATAGATCTTTCCATCCATATCTGACTTAAAAATCCATATGATGACTAAACCTAAATATTCATTTTTATGGAGCACCTACAGACTGGGGGAGATAATGAAGAAGTAAAAGGAGAAAAAAACCCACTGCCCTAAAACACAACACTGCTCTAAGACAGCAATAAAAGTGATGTCACAAGGTAATACATGATTAGTTGCTTATTTACAACACAGATATAAACAAAGAGCTTAGAGTAAAGAGCAATAATTCAAAGTAGGCAAGTGAGGAAAAGGAACTGGGATCTGAGCAGTCTTCAAAGTCCCTTCAAAGGAGGGACTTCCTTGGTGGTCCAGCGGTTAAGACGCTGCGCTCCCAATGCAGGGGGTCTGGGTTCCATCCCTGGTCAGGGAACTAGATCCCACACGCTGCAACTAAGAGCCTGCATGCCACAACTGAAAGATCCTGCACACGGCAACGAAGATCCTGCATGCTGCAACTAAGACGTGGCGCAGCCAAATAAAAATAAATAAACAAGGGCTTCCCTGGTGGCGCAGTCGTTGAGAGTCCGCCTGCCGATGCAGGGGACGCGGGTTTGTGCCCGCATCCGGGAAGATCCCACGTGCTGCGGAGCGGCTGGGCCCGTGAGCCATGGCCGCTGAGCCTGTGCGTCCGGAGCCTGTGCTCCGCAACAGGAGAGGGCACAACAGTGAGAGGCCCGCGCAAAAAATAAATAAACAAATAAAATTTTAAAAGGTGTATGGTGGGCTTCCCTGGTGGCGCAGTGGTTGAGAGTCCGCCTGCCGATGCAGGGGACGCGGGTTCGTGCCCCGGTCCGGGAAGATCCCACATGCTGTGGAGCGGCTGGGCCCGTGAGCCATGGCCGCTGAGCCTGTGCGTCCGGAGCCTGTGCTCCGCAACAGGAGAGGGCACAACAGTGAGAGGCCCGCGTACCGCAAAAAAAAAAAAAAAAAAAAAAAAAAAAGGTGTATAGAAAGGTTCTGAGGAGGCATAGAAACGGAAGGCATCCCCAGCAGGTGGGGCAGAGTTACTAACTAGATGGCCCACTTGGCGGGCAGCAAGAGGAACCATTTGAGAGAGCCCCGCAGAGGAGGCTGAGGAAACATGCCTAGGGCAGGCTCGAGAGCCCTGACAGCAAACTGAAAACAGAGGTGGGGTTTCCCCCGTGAAGGCGTCTGA